CTGAACCAACTTGAGTCAATGCTGTAATTTTCTTTTTAAAAACTTGTTCTTAACTTTCTCTCTTTCTGTCTCTCTGTTTGTGTGTGTGCAGGGATGCATGTTTACAAACACTTGTTCATCACAATGTGCATAGAGAAGTCAGAGGACCACTTAAGCAGTGGGTTTTCCCCTTCTGCATGTGTGTTCTGGACATCAGACTAAGGTTATCCATCTTGGTGACAAGTGACTTTACCAGTTGAGCCAACTCACTGGCTCCTGGTGTTATAACTGTATAAGCCACAGATCACTGTTTGTATGTAAAGTTCTTCTCTACTTTCCATGGATCAAAGGATTAAATGAGCATCTGTGGGGATATTCTGTGATAATGTCACCTTGTTCCATTACTTCTACCCCAGGACAGAGGCTGAAGCCTGAGTTAGTGTTACTTTATCCCTGTGCTGCACCATAGGGAACCTTTCACTCTCGGTTAAGCAACACCACATCCCATTTCATCTGGAGACTGGAGTTAAGGACTGTTTTGTCCTTTTGTTCGGTTCATCTACTCTGGAAGTTTTGGCAGCTGTGCTTGGCATATCAGCAAATAAATAAAAATGTTTTGAGTTGCTCAAGAGTTTTTTTTTTTAAACACTTAGTACATGCACGTATGTGTATATATGAGTATATGTGTAGTTACATGTTGAGATCAGCGAATAACTTGCAGGAGTAAAGTTCTTTCTTCCATCATGTTTTTGGAGATCAAAGAAGTCTTTGGGCTGGGCAAAAGTATTTTTTGGTTGTTGTTGTTTTGGTTTTTTGTTTGTTTCAATCTAGAATTACCATGAAAGGGGATGTTAAGGGGAATTGTTTAGACTGAGTTGGCCCCTTGGCATGTCTACGGGTGATTATGTATTAACTGAAAGTAGTTCACAGTGTTGGGTATCATTCCCTGTGCAGGTGATTCTGAATTATATGTGGGGAAAAAGTGAGATATTCATTAATCAGTTCTTTTTGTTCTTGAGTGTGGATGACTGTTACCATTTTTTTCAAGTGCCTGCTGCGGGTTTTCCTACGGTAGTGGACTACAGCATGGATGTGTGAGCTGAGGAAACCCTTTTTCCTTTCAGTTGATCTTGTTAGGGTATTTTAACACAGCAGTACGGAAGGAAACCAAGACACCTTCTGAGGCATCACGCTGTCCCAGCTCAGGAGGATGCGAAGTGGATTTAGACATGCGCACCTGGAATTTCAGTTAGGTGGGGAATAAACTCATAATACCTCTGCCTCATGATGAGTGTTGCTAATAGTGGTGCCTTGTGTTTGACTATTTCTAACAGGTATATTTTCAGCGTTATTCCTAGATAAAAAGGTAATATGTGAAGAAAGACAGTGAATGCCTTGAATTTCCTGTTTTATAATATCAGTGCCTTTTAACACATCATGTTACACACTAGAAATAGATGATTTTGATCAAAAGGAAAGTAGATATGAGTTTGAATTTGACAAGTGTCCTAGTACCTTTGACCTGACAGAGCGCCTTCCTATCACTTATTTATTCCAGAAGCCACTGACATCTTTTCAGTTCTACAAAAGAGTTGCTGGTATCTGTTAAATACTACTCCAAGTTTAAGACTATTTGGCTTAATATTTGGCAGATTTTCAAACAAAAAAAATTTAACACATGATGAATACAAAAATAACCAAATCATCCTAATCTTATAGAAAATTTCCTGGTAAATGTTAATAGTTTGGCTTCTTGGTGAAAGAAAAACGTTATTTTCCTTTATCCCCTCCCTCAGTCAATTCATCTTTGGCCTTCCTTCAATAAAAAAAGGGGTAACAAGCAAGCAAGTGGTGCTTGAGTGGTGCTTGAGGATACTTGAAGACAACTTATTCTTTCAAGTGGATTAAATAATTCATCCTTGAAGATCTCATCACCTGATGGCATTGCAAAAAAAAAAAAAAAAAAAAAGAGCTATTTCTTCAGAGGGAGGACATTTGTAAATTGGATAAACGAAGGCGGAGAGTTAGGCTGCCTGAATTCAGTTGCAGTCCTCCTTGCTTCCGAGGAGTATGATTGGGCAGAGTTGTCTCACTCCTCCGTGCATAGGTGCCAGTTTGAGTTGCTGTGAGATCATCTCATCTTTATGCCATCTCTTAGAGCACTTGGTGCTGGGTAAAAGTCAACCACTTTCACACAATCTTAAAGCTATGAATATTCTAAAACAAAATTGGGCGAAGTGTTAAAAATATGTAAATTGTACATTTTACATGTATGCTTTTGGGGAAATCAGATGGCTTTGGCTCGAGCCATGTGTCTCTTCTTCACCCTAAGATTTAAGCAATTCTCGGTGGTTTGAGTGAATGAATAAATGAACTATTAATTGATTAATTCTCAAATCTATTCCTCTTGATGTTTTCTATTCTTTTTCCCCGTGGCCTGAATGTCTTCAGTGTGGCTGTTTACCTTTATAAATAATCAACACAGTTTTCTGAGGAATAGTGTGGTTTATGTTCTGTATATGACGGAAGCTACAAAATTAATTGCCTTTCTGTCATGTGTCTTTCATTGATCCTTCTGTGTGAACCAACGCCTGCCAGTGTCTTCAAGCTGATAACAGTGATCACAGTGTTTAGCATTTTTAATACAGCAATGTGTGTGGTAGTGGTGTGTGGTGGCTTGAAAGAGCAGGAGGTAGAGGTTTTTAAGTAGTAACTGATTTTTTTTATTATTTTTTTTTATATTCAGTCCCGTCAGTTTCCATGAAAAGATCATAAAACTTAGTAAGCAATTTCCCATCAGTACCTAAGAGCATAAATAAGACTTTGCTGTAAAATCGAACAACTTTTATATTAAAAGGATTTTTTAAAACAAAGTTCCCAATTGTATTCTTCGGTGTTTGATTTGACTATGATGCTGTGATCATAAAGCATGCAGGCTGACTCTCAGTGTGTCACTCCTTATCGCAGTCTACAGGTTCATGAAGCCTGCTTGTCAATATCCCTTGTCACACACATAGGTGGAGCATTGTAGGGCGCAAAAGCATGGAGACCAGCCACCAGTTATGCACTTACCAACATAACTGACTCGGTGTTGATTCATATAAGCTTTACAAGAAAGGTCTTTTCAACCAAGTTAAAGCTAGGGTCCTCCTGACTTCAGGTTTTTGTCTTTGATTACCTCTGGTCCATTCCTTGAGGGCCTCTGCCTCTTAATACCTCTGATCAACTGAGGAGCCTCTGCTTCCTGATTTCTAAACACTGTTTTCTCTTGATTTTCTTTTGCTTCTGTTTATATGCAAATGAAGAATTGTGTCATTTCTGGCAGTTTTAATCACCTTACTGGAAGAGTTTTAGTTACATTCACGATGGCTAATCTCACTCAAACCTTACTTTTAAATTCTGTATATCCAGTATCTCCTCCATGTTTCCAGAGCACACAGTCAGGGGCTTCTTGTCTGCAGAACATAAGCCTAGACTATCCTTTTTCTCATACATTTCATTCTTTTGCAAAGCAAGTTTCATTCCCCCCTCCCAGGAGCAATATATCTGTTTTTGTACTCTCCTGTCACTGCAGATTTTTAGTATGGCATTTACAAAAAGGAATGGCCAGAGGTTTTACTCTGTGGCCTTCCGCTGATGATGTTTGAATTCACTGAGAAGAAGACACTGTCTTTTCACAAAAATGTACAGATAATGAAGAATGTACATGTCAACACAGCACAATCAGTGAAAAATTGCTGTGAGGAGAAAGGGATAAATCCATGTTTTAGAAACACTTGCCATGTTTCTTCATAAAAGTGAACATTTTGTAATTTACATAAATCTTAATCACTTCAAGTGAACTGTAGTCAATTGAACTGATGCAGAATGTAGAGGCTGCTTGTAGCTGAGGGAAGGAATGTGGGAGATTAAGACACATAGCCTCTGACTGGCGTGATGGAAGAGCTGTAGAAACAGTGGTGGTGACCTTAATTGGGACTGGTGAATTAACTAAGTAAAATTACTAAAATATTAAGATAGAGTGCCAAATATGTGAGTATCTCTGTATGTGTGTGTGCATACATGCACTAATAGTAATTAGTAATTATGCATATGTTTTCTAAAAGGAAATGACTTTTTACTAAACAGGAAACCCCTCAAAAGAAGTCCATAATTGGGTTTAGCAACAAATATGCTTTCTGCACTCACTTTTTGTCCCACTAACTCTCATTCCAAACAAATACTGTGCAACAGAAAACATCATTAAGTAATGTTGAATTTACAAAGTGAATGAGTACACTATTAAACAATTAAAAGAAAGAAGGCACTATTTAAATCAATACGCCCAGCACAGTTTGTTACTTTGCTGCCCACAGGCAGAGAGGCTGTTCAAGATTGCCTATGTCCATGGCCACACATGACAGATAGTGACACTTCTGCCATTTGTTTTTGATCGAATGAGTCAAGCAGTCATGAGGCTTACACGTCAGATTCACTGAGTTTGTGTCTTCAGCCTATCCAAGACTTTGTGACCTATGTGAGATGTTTGGTTTTCCCACTGCACAATTGTCTCATATGATATGTAGAAGGAAAAATCCTCAGTTTGTGTATGTGAATTTTCATAGCCTGGTTGGGGCTTTGTCATTTTTAATAATGTAGCGATCCAAACAGATTTATGTTGAACAAAGACTTAATTTACAAAGAATATGATGGATTATAAAAATAACATTACGAGAAATTCTTTGATCCCTTCCTCTTAAATTTTTATTTAGTATATTTCATTATTAATGCATTTTTATTCCACTAACAGGCCAAGTAATAATTTATAGGCTTTGAGCAAATTAATATTAAAGACAATACCAAGAGCTGTTACTGTTAGCTGTCATTAGATGTCGTTACATCTCATAAGCTAACGTAATTAAAATAGAGACAAACTCCAAGCCTTGGGAGGATGGTCTTACAGGGTTGATGTCCTTGTTTGAATTTTTTTCTAACCCATTTTTCTTTCTGTTTCTCTTCTTTCCATGCTGACTTTGATGCAGCAGACCACTTGGGGATTGAATTCATGGGTAAGATGAAACAATTTGTTCCTTAAATATTCTGAGTCATTTCGATACTGTACATATTGTTCTCCTCCAACTGATTATAATCAAAATGTCTCATTATCAGGAGCTATTGGCTGTCAAAAAAACCCTTTAGTTCATTTTACACTATGTAACAGCTCAAAATAAAAGCCTCAGTTATATACCCAGAAGATGATGTGGTGTCTAGCATTTTTGAAATTCTGCAAAGATAGGATTTGCCTTTATGCTTTGATGTTTTCCTCTCATTCCTCATATTTTTTTAAATCTGTTAAACTGAGGTTCTAACATTTCCTATTTTAGTATATGTTTAAATTTCTTGAGACAGTAATTCTACATGGAAAACATATATGATAGACAACAACAATTCAAAAATCTATATTGTTTTCTACTCAAATCCTTTTTCTTCTCACAAAATGACTGGTACATTGGTACATTTTAACACTGGTACTAATTTTAATTATAGACATAAACACATTTCTATTAGCAAAATTAAAATAATTCTTCTTAAAATACTATTAATTTTTGACACATTTTTTAAAATATTAGTATTTCTTCAAGGAACTTTACCTTCTGTATTTATTGAAAATTGCATTACCAATTGAAGATAATTCTGAGTCTATTACAAGTTAAGTAAAATGTAAGCCATGAAGTTCAATATGGCAAGGTGCTTAGTAGCTACGAGTTAGAGAAACTGAGAAAACTCACCTTTGAGGCTGAGTTCTTCCAGTTCTGCCTAATTGTATCTTAAACTTTAGGTTTTTTTCTCTTCTATAAAGCAGATATGAATACTTGCTTATTATGTACTGTGCATTGTGAGAATTCAGACGAATTCACTCATTCACAAGCCCATTCATTCAGGCAAAGCTTATTTAATCTCAGTCAGCAAAAAATGAAGGCCGATTACTAGAAATAATCTGGGTAGAATTTAGAGTCTAGTAACTTATGGCAATAAAATTATAAGTATCTTAGTTCTACTCAGGCAAGATTATACTAGCTTGGACTCCTGTAATGTAAGAAGTGTATGGAAAAGCTAATAAGTCTTTAGAATGTCGTATTAACAAATATTTGAAATGAAGAGATGATGAAGGTTACTCTGGGAAATTTTCAAGGATGACTTCAAATTTTCCTGTTTGTGTTCTTAGTTATGAGGTATACTAGTATTGAGAAAAAGCTGACCGTGCACAACATTCATAGGAGATGTTTATGAAATGGGATATAAAAATATGAGTTTGGGGTACCTTCTTTGAGAGAAGATGTCAAGTTGGTTGTGTTGCTGTGAAGTATGGAGGGTTATAGATTGGTGGCCTCATTTTTGTGTCAGAATTTCTATCTCCTGTTTCATGACCTGACTCATGAATAAGAGGCTGTAACTACCTTGTATATTGACGGATAATAATTTGGAGACGCTATGAGAAAGGAAAACTTTCAAAGAATGCTCAGGATAGCGAACAGCCAAACTGAGAGAGAGAAGCAAACAAATCAAACTGGAGATCAACAGTTAAGAAGATATACTTTTGGAACAGTTGTATAAATAGGTGACTGTTGCTCAAGATGAAATTAGGGTTTTAGAATTGAGATAGAAAATGTTTATTATATGCAAATTTCTATAGGCAATGGAAATGAGCTGATTGTTTATAGCTAAGAGTATTAACAACTGGATAAAAAAATAATTCATCAGTGTCTCAAAAACGGAACATTTTATTGCAAGGTAGTATTCTTTCTTGCCTAGGGCAAAGTGGCTCTGGTAAACAAGTAATAATTAGGTGACATAGGTTGATGCTTTCCTGTGGCTTCAATATTTCCTAGGGTTACTTTGTCAGCTGCCTATAGCCAGTATATGGGTACAGAGAGCATAGTCTTCCTTAAAAGATTTGGTCTAAGATCAGAAAAAAGGAGAGGAGGACCTCCCCTATCAGTGGACTTGGGGAGGGGCATGCATGCAGAAAGGGGAGGGGAGGGTGGGACCAGGAAGAGAGAAGGGAGGGGCTTATGGGGGGATACAAAATGAATAAAGTGTAATTAATAAAAAATAAAAGATATGGTCTGAAATGGCTCAAATCTCTATTTTCTTAATAGTTTGCTCTCTAGAACTAATCAAATAACCCCATTAATCCTCAAATGAGACTAGTAAATGCTACTTTAGATTCTCTTTAAAAAAGAATAGATTGTTTTAGTAATTTATACCATATTATGAATACCTGAAATGAGAAAAAAATCAGAGTTTTTGTAAGACCCAACAAGAAGTGTTCTTTAGGAGCCGGGAGGTCAGGAGTGTTGGAATATATATGTATGAACATATATATGTGTGTGTGTGTATATATATATTATTCATTATATATATATATAATGAATAATATATATACATATATAATAAAATACCTATCTATAAATATATAGCTAATATTAATATATATTAGCTATTTTATTGGGCTCTTAAACCTCTTCCTAGCTTCCAACCCTTATTCCATCCTAATCTCTTTGAACCCCACAACACTGAGTAAGAGAGACAGATTAGAGGGAAGAGGGAGCATAGACCTCTATAGGCTACTTTCTGCTGATTAGGGACATAGAGTTTCTTGAGGCAAGTCCACTTTTCCTCATCAGAATCTCTAACAGTCCAGCAAACAACTAATCCAGCAACAACAAACACAGCAGCAAACACAGCAGCAGGATGAAGCAGCGCCAGCGGAGGCAGCAGCAAGTGGAGAAGCAGCTTCCTCCTCCTCCTCCTTTTTCTTCTTCCTCGAGCCTCCATCCCCCTCTGTTCTCTGGCATTTATTTCTTCACGAGAGTACCCAGAATTAAACAATCTGTAACTGGCGAAAGTCAAGCTCCTGCTAGTGCATGAGACAATCATAGTTAATGGCTGTGGACAATCAGAATAAGCCCCACAACCCACACCTGGGATTAAAACAAAAACATATTCACATAACATAACTGAGTTTTTAAGGAAACCCAAAATCCCACCACACAGGAGTATAGATCCACAACTTTGTAGGTGTAAATAAAATGAAAACAGCTTTTTAAAATGGGAAAGGAAAATCAGATTATTCCTTTAAGTTTTGGGTTTCAGTTACAGTAGAAGAAAATGAAGTCAAAGAATTGAATGAATGGCAATGGGTGATGAAAGATATGAATGAGAAATTTTCAGAGGAGTAAGAGACTAAAGCTAAGCCATGGACCACAAGCTACAGAAAACAATCAGCATGGTTTGTGTGATGGTGAGTAAGTCAGTGAAAAGGGAAAGCAGTGAACCCTCCTTATTCACTAACAGTAGTAGGGAATAGGTATTAGCGGTGTGAGCTTATGACCCTCAAAGTCCTTTCGAGAAATACGGGCACTAGTCCCCATGGCTAAGGAAATTTGGTTCCCTGGGCTGTGGTGATTGAAGGTTCTGAGAACAGATGTCCCCTGCCTATTGAACTGAACATCTGTAGAGAGAGGAGTCACCTCTCAGCTGGCGGTACGGCTGGGGCATTTTAGATCCCACAAGCAAAGTGGCAAGATGGGAAACAAAACTGCTATTCAAAGTGCCAATCATCTCTTTTGAAAGAAATAGACTAGTCTCCAAAATATCAGGAGACTTCTAGCATTGCTGACATGTATACCACAGTAGAACTAACATGTATATTGAAAGGTCTATGGGAGAACTCATTAGAAGAAGTGCAATTCTTGAGCCAAATAAAATAACAGATTACTGTGAGGTTCATCTATATGACACTCAAGCCTAAGTGAGTCTTATAAAAGAGTCAAATCATAGGTCTAAAGTCTTACAGGGAATGAGTTCCCAGTGTGTGACTATTTGAATTCTGAAATAGATATTGCCTTAGAGGAAAGGGGTTGATCAGAAAGAAGGAGCCAAAAGGAATGTCTTGTATCCAGGTAGCTAATGACAACTGTAAAGCATAATTCGGATCAGGGTTTACACAATTAGTGAATATACTGTTTCAGTGAACTTACTTGTCCATTTATACCCTTTGCTGATTATGAGTATGTAAAATGATGTTTGTGAGTTTGCAAACAGATACTTTGAATTTAAACTATGATTATAGAAATGAAGTGGGTAAAATGTTTTTCATTGAAGATGTTATAATGAAATTCTTAAATCATCTATAGATGAAAATTTAATATGGAAAGCAGAAGTGTACCCAATATGCATATAATTTTTGGTGAATTTATTGGTGTCCAGAATATTTATTTATGCCAGTTTTGCTCACATGTATGTATGTGGGGGGGGGTGAATTGTTTAAATAGAATCTACTTTTACAGAACAAAATTAAGTTCACAGCAAAATATCATAGAAAATTCAGAGATTTCTTGTATATTTCTCACATGTGCACAGCCTCCCAGTTGTTTTAATTTCTCACAAAAGAGGTTCGTGTGTTACCTCTGACAATCCTGCATGCAGTCATCGTAACCCAGAGTCCATGATTTTCAGAATGGTGCTCACACATTGTTCTGTATAATGATGGGCATATAATAATTAGCATTAGCATGAAACTTCACTTTCTCAAATCCCTGTACATCTGCCTTTCCTTTCTCAAACTTTGACAGTCACCAATCTTTTTTTCTTTTTAATCATCATCATGGTTTTGATATGTCATGAAATTGAAGTTTTATCTTTCCATACTGGTGATAAGCTTCAGCGTCTTTTTTTTTTTTTTTTCCATCCCAACCAGATTTTCTCCTTCTTCTTTCTTCTTCTTCTCTACTCCACCATTTCTCTCCAGAAAAGGGCAGACTTCCCATGGATATCAACCAGCCATGGCATATCAAATTCAGTAAGACAAGGCAACCCCGTAGGAGGAAAGTTTTTCAAAAGCAGACAAGAAAGTCAGAGACAGCCCCTGCTTCCACTGTTAGGAGCTCATACAAAGACCAAGTTAAGCAACTGTAACATATGTGCAGAGGGCCCATGTCAGTCCTATGCATGCAGTTGGCAGTTCAGTCTATGGGAGCCCCCATGACCCTGGGATAGGTGATTC